ACGGGGTCAGCCTACCACCGAATCTACCCCAGTTACCAGCTTGGCAAAGCACTACTTCAAAAGGATGTTTATTTATCAACACTGTCACATACTGATTGACAAGAGTTTATTTACTTTAAGGGACTTCTGTTTTTTTTCTTCTCTGCCCTCAAAACTATGGAAAGATTATATAGTCAGAAAACCACATTATAAAAATTAACATGAATGAACAATATAGTATGTTGTGTATATGCTACCCCTCCCCCCCCCCCCTCAACAGTCAATCAATCCATGGTGCAGCATTCAAGGGTGGGTGCTACCTCAAGCATTTTGTATGTAGTCCATAAAACTTTATTGAAATATGACATGCCCATATTGACCTTTGTAGTTGAAACTGGGGTCATGATGACCTTGCAAAACATCTTGAGTGTGTTTTTTTGATGTCAATTCTTTTTTAGGGATTTCGTCTCAATTTGATGGTGAGAAACCAAACACTGGGCTGCCTTGCAAACTGTTGTGCAATCACATGCAGGGGGGGAGGTGCTTGATACTTAATTGGGGAGAACATGCTGTTTCAGCTGTTTTGTCTAAAATAGGGTCCACATATATATGTAGTACACAGGATTACAATAAGATTTTTAAAATTATTTGTGGCCTGTAATTGAAAACTTTATGTTTTGATGGCTTATATTATATTCAAATTTTAAAAGAAGTGATAGTGTTTTCTTCAATGTTTTTTTTTCATCGTGGAGTAATTTAAAGTTTTTCGTTTCAATATTGGCATAAAATCAAATGGGGGCACCAGTTTGGGTCTGAAATAATTGGTCTGAAATGGGGCATGTATTTGTATTATTGTTTAAGTTCACTGAGGGGTCACCTTCGCGCTAAAGTTGTGATGGTGAAGGTATTAAAACCGAAGTTGGCAGATGCACTTAAAGTTGGAGTGTGAACATAACCACTTGATGGATAACAATTCCGAGTAATTCGATCAAAAATGAATAGTATGTATGAAATTATTTGGATTTTTAGCCCTGTGAAAATGAACTTGAATGTCGGCATGGAACAACCTGTGGTGTGATTCAACCACAGTATTACTGTACTTTATAGGCCGCGATAACAGTACAACTTATTGGTCAATGAAAGTAAGTAACTTAATAATAATGTAAATTAAAGCTTACCTTGGTTGGCTCGGGACAACAATTTAAGTTATGCGTCTTCTTTGGCCCACATGTTATCGCTGCGATCGACCAAAACACCTTTTTAGGCTGAGGGTAGCAGTGTGTTTACATATTTGTCATCGGGTAAGTGCGACTAGCGCCACCAACGACAGAAACCTCTGCACCACCCGATATATACTCATGATTTAGCAACTGTCAGGTCTACAGAGGCGACACACGGTGCACATTCACTTGTAACGCAGAATAAAAATGGTGAAATGTAAAGTGAAAAATACATAAAGCTAAACAATAGATCTTATATTAACCAGATTAAACACTTAGTGACAATCCTCTGAAATTCGATACAACCTCAGACGTTTTTGTGACAATGACGAATTATAAATAAACGAAATAATAACTCACTAACTTTAAAAAAACGAAACAGCGGTGATTTTGAATAGAAACTGATGAAAATATGGGTTTTTTACGTAACTTCTATATAAAATAAAAGATCGGCATAGTTTTTGTTATGATATAATATAAACGTATATTTATATTTTCCAGCGTTTCGTAGTATATCGTGAAATGCTGGCACAGCAAATGGGATTACAGGTGAAGTAAGTTAGCTGTCAGTCACGATGACGTGAATTGTCAATGGCCTGTGATTGGTAGAAAATAAATATTATATTGTTGTTAAAGATGCATGTGCTACAGTAACAACTACCGACTGAATTTTCGAGTGCGAGTACGCTGGCGCACATCTTTGGGGTAGAACGCTACACAAAAGTGAAAATATCATGAAAAAAAGTAATATAGTGTTCTACAAGGTATTTTTTGATGTCTGGAAGTACGAATAAATGTTTTACTGAGTGGGCTTTTAATGATAACAAAACTTCATTTCAGTAAGCGTAAAAAAATTATCCGATAATTACATATAATATACATAATAAACCAAAAAAAAAAAACATTAAAAATATAACAAGTTCCTATACAAGAAATGCATCTTTGAAAATGGTGCATACGTCAGTATAGACTAACATTGTTTTAATCAACGCATTCTGATTGGTGCGCAGACGGTTTAAAATCAAGAGTACAATAAGTTTCGCCACAGAGGCCCCCCCCCCCCACTCAGGATCCATAGGGGGCCGCATGCGCGTTCCCATTTTCTCGGGAAAGAGGGTACTTTTTGACGATCTGTCTCGGGAACATTT